GGGGAGGTCGACGCGTCGGGGGATGTACGGGACATCAGCATGCATGACCTCTTCGGCAGCGCGGTTGGAAATAAGGCACAGAACGGGCAGTCCGGCGATGGTTCGGAGTGGGAGACGGTGGATTCACAATACGCAGCAGCGCCGACCCCGCGGCTGACGCGCCCAGGCTTATCCAGACTGCAAAGGGTGAAACTACAACGGGTCTTGCGACAGATGTCTCTGCACATGCGGCTCGCCTCCCGCCCACAGTGGCTGCCGCCGCATCGGGTGCCTCATCAAGACAGATGGAGAGGTTCGTCACAGCGAGACCGCAGGCGATGAGACTTGTCCCCATTGTTCGTCGGCACCCGTCGAGCGCTGCATCAGACGGATCTTTGTCGCCAAAAGTGGGACTTCTATCGGGACCATAGCAATGTAATAGTGTTTCTTGGACGCATTCTCTCGCGTGCTGAGGGGCGATTAAATAGGTCTACGAGTACATGAATGCGCCTTGAAGAAGGTGTCACCGAAGCGAGCTAGATGTGGCCGTCAAGAATTGAATAGTATTTGTTTCGAAGTTGTGCTTCTCAGGCTACTACTTGGCGCTCTGAAGTAGCGCGCTTTGACCAATCGTTTAAAATGGCACCGCCTTCTTGCACCCCGTCTCGGGTCGGGGGCTGCGGACGACGACCTGCATGCGACGCCGGCAATCCGCTCCTCATTTGGTGTGCTTCGGTAGCTTGGCAGCTCCTGGTGCCTTTGGATGGCCCGTCACATTGGCACATGTGAAGCAGTAATACAAGTTGTGCCCGATCTCAATCATGCCCGCGTCTTTGAGGTCGTCAGTCGGAGTGAGCTCGGTCTCCCTGCCACAGCGCATGCAACAGAGCTGTCTAATCATTGATCTAAACATGTCGAGAATTGGTGGATGGAAATCTGTTGCGTATTGGATCTTCCAGCGGCGGATGCCAGGATGATCAACGCGGGGTCTACCTACGGGCTTACATATTCTACAGACACGCAGGTTTCGCAGTTCAGGCGCGGCCATCGTCGCTAGCCAGTCCTGACTGCGATCGCTCACGCCCACGTTTTCCAAGTGAATGTTCCTCGCGGGCGGAGAGACCGGCGATACGCATCATCTTGCTCGGCAACGCCCATGGCCACTTCCGTCCGCTACATCGGGCTCCCTCTAAGCTCCCTCTAGGCTCCTTCTACCGCATTCGTGGACATGTGCATGCAATCATTGTTGTTGAACATGGCAGTATGGATGGGGAGCATTCTGAGAAGCTCCTGGGGTGTTTTTGACGTGAGTGATGTACCCGGATGGTTCACAAACGCCCCTGACAAGGTCGGGCATAGTCCCACTACAAGCCAGAATCGGGCTCAGAGCATGACCGTCCATCATTTGAAAGTGGTCGGGAATCGAAGTTGGCAGAGCGGGCGGGCATGCCCGTCGGAGAAACTACGGTATCTTGCCTAACAGTCCGTCGGCGAGAAACCGGCTCAACGGCCATGATCAATTGTCCCAAGCCCTTGGGTCCGCGTTGGTCCCTTGGATCCAGTTGTGGATTTCTGGGTGCACCACAGAACCGT